TCAACAGAACCAGGAAGGGCAATGCATGGCAGGAATCCCAAACTGAGGACTCATGTGAAGACCAAATGGACAGCAACATGAGTTTATCCTGACATAATATAGAATTCTCATTCCATGTCTTGTTGGCACTATATATCCTGAGTTAAAGACCTCTTCCAGGTGCTCACATACATGTATGGTTAAAAGTAGGAAAATGGGAACTAAAGAATGAAGCTCTTCCTCCATCTTTGAGATCTTTAAAGCCCTCTCTCACACATGAAGATTGGGCAAATATTGGCTCCTAGGATGACATCTGCTCCTCATGGTAAGTGTAGGCTTGCTGGAAAAATGTTTCTTCTGACAAACACTGTCTTAGTCAAGGTCTTTGTGTTGAGATGTCAGCTGGTTAAGAGAACAGAAGCTGGAGACAAGATCCGATTTCAGTTCCTGAATCCTAAACCTCATTATTTTATGACCTTGAGCAAGTTATTTATCCTTTATGTGGCTCAGTTTCTTTACTTGTACTAATACATATAGTAATAGTTCATACCTCATATGATTGCTGTGAAAAAATCAAATGGCCTTTTACTGTTAAAATAAAGAACAGTAATTCTCACTATTTTATCCCTTAACTATCATTACTTGTAAGTGTAAAGAAACCTTGCTGGGGTGAATGGGTTTCCTATTAACTAGGGAACCTAGGAGGCAAATTCAAGGAGCCCTGGAGGGTCAACAGTTAAGCATGCGCCTATCAGCTGAAGGGCTGGTGTTTTGAACCTATTCAGTCACTTTGTAGGAAAACTATCTTTGTGAAAATCACAGCATAGAAAATCCCATGGTACAAGTCTATTCTGTCACATGGAGTCATTGTGAGTAAAAAATCTACTTAATGATACCTAAAAGCAACTGATACTTAATAGTTGTTGTTATGTGTCATTGAGTCACTTGTGACTCCTAGAAACCCTGTGTACAAGTTTTGAAGCCTGAACCAGTTTCACTGACTCTAACACACCTAATCTGATAGCCCCAGTTATTGTATCAATCCATCTCATGTAAGGTTTTCCTCTCCTGTGCTGTCCCTCCATTCTTCTGAGCAAGATGTCCTTCTCCAAAGTCTGGTCTCTCTTGGCCACAAGCCCAAAATATGTGAGACAGAGCTTCAAAATCCTTGCCTCCAAGGAGAAACTTGATTTCACCCTCTCTAAGAGAGACCTGTTTGTTCTCCTGGCTGTTCATGGTTTGTTCAGTACTCTTCCCCAACACCACAACTCAAAGACATCAGCTTTTCCTCTGTCATCCTTAGTCATTGGTACCTAACTAATTTATGTAACGGTACCCAACAAATTAAGAAGGGATTATGTCATGGTTGTATTCTCTCTCCATACCTATTCAATCTATATGCTGAGCAATCTATAAAGCTGGACTTTATGAAGGGGAAGGTGGCATCAGGATTAAGGGAGACCCATCAATAACCTATGCTATGCAGATGACACAACCTTGATTGCTGAAAGTGAGGAGGATTTGAAGTACTTGTTGCAGAAGATCAAGGTCTGTAGCCTTCAATATGGATCACATCTCAATGTCAAGAAAACAAAGATTCTTACCACTGAACCAGTAGTCAATATCATGATGGATGGAGAAGAGATTGAAACTGTCAACGACTTCATCTTACTTGGATCCACAATTAACACCCTTGGTATTAGCAGATGGGAAATAAGGAGATGCACTGAGAAAGTCTCCAAATTATTCAGGACCTCTCCCAGAGCCTAATTTGAGGACCTAAATTATTGAGGAGTAATGATGTCAGTTTGAGGACTAAGGTCTGTCTGATTCAGGCCATGGTCTCTCTGATCACTTGTTATGCATCTGAGAGCTGGACAATGAATAGGGATGACAGAAAAACAATTGATGCCTTTGAGCTATGTTTTGGAGAAAAGCACTGAACATCCCATGGACGGCCAAGAGAACAAACAGATATGTCTTAGGGAGAGTGCAGCTGGCTGGAGTACTCTTTGGAGGCAAGGATGATGAAGCTTCACCTCACATACTTCAGGTATGTTGATAGGAGGGGCTATTCCTTGGAGAGGGACATGATGTTGGGAAGGTCATGTCGAAGGAGAGGAAGACCCTCGACCAGAAGGTTTGACAAGGTGACTATTAGAATGGGCTCTAGTATGTCAGGAAGTGTGAAGATGGCACAGGATTGGACAGGGTTCAGATCCACTCTTCATAGGGTTGGTGTGAGTTATATTTGACTTGACAGCACCTAACAACAACATGATGGAGTCCAGAGTGAGTTGCACTCCCCAAAGGCCAACTTCTCTAGCAGTTTTAATCCAGCAGGAGCTCCATGGGGGAAAGATGCGTATTTCCTCCCATATGACGTACAGTTTTGGAAACTCAATTCAGGGTCACTTATGAGTCAGTTCTGACTCAACAGCAGTGAGTTTGAGGGTTTGGGGTTTGTGGTGTTTTGTTTTTTGGTTTTTTTTAACAGCGTGAAAATGTCAGTGCTTACTCTTCTCATAAATTAATAATCTTGCTAGACCTATATAATCAAATAACTTAATCCCAGTGGTCAATATTACTCCTCAACATGTTTGAACTTTTTTACTTTTCTTACTCACTTGAAGAACGTATCCAAAGGCAGAAGTGGAAGACCTGATTCTTTTCTGCTGTTGTACATTTTTCTATAATACAGTATTTGCCAAGTAATAATTTTTCAGGTCTGAGAAATTATGTTGTCTAACCCACAATTGTTGCCAGATCTCCTGGGGTAAGAAACAGAAGTTCAATGCTTCCTAACAATAGCTCTTTGTTCCCCCATTCTCTGGAAACCAGTGTATGAATGATGGAAATACTGTTCTATATTGAAAGACCAAGGAAAAAGGGATCATGGAGCTTAGTATTTATCATGGTGAGCGAAGCAGTTCATTGTTTTTTGATAATTAAGCACATTTCAGCGTTTTGCAGGAAGAATTACGGAGTGTAATAGAGTGAATGCATGGCTTTTCAGTCTTTAAGTCCTGACTCTTGGTCATCCATATGCAATGATAATACATGTTGTTGTTGTTGCTATGTGCCGTCATATTTTCAGAGAACATATGATGAAGGGAGACACTATACTGTGTATAAGAGAAGAGGCATGACTTAGAACCCTGAGAAAGATGGAGGGAGAGTTGTGGGATTCCTAGCACATGGTGGTGGTAAGCTCAGAATCATGTGCTTTTATGTGCACTCAGAGCTGCCTGAGCAAAACAGAAAAAGCCCCTGCTGACCGTGGACCATCCTACAGGTCACTGGTGCTGTTACTGTGTCTATCCATCTTCTTGAGGGTCTTGCTTTCTTTTTTTGTACCTCCCTCCACTATTCTTTACTCCATATAATCTCTTTCTTCAGGGATGGTGCCCTCCTGCTGGCAAGCCCAAAGTATATGAGATAAAGTCATCTTTGCTTCCAACTACTCTAGCAGTTCTTTTCCCAAGATTGAGTTGTTGTTTGTTCTTGTGGCAGTCCATGTCCTTCTTTAGCTTCCCCAACACCTACTCACAGACACCTATTGCTTTTCAGTGATCTTCATTCATTGCCAACTTTCATACATCTGTGAACTCATTAACTCATTGCCATTCAGTAGAAACCAACTCATAGTTGACCCTCCTCCTCCTTGGCCTAAATGAACACAATTAAGTGGTCTCACACAGCCTTTGCACAGTCAGTAAAACACAACTGAACATCTGCCTGGTATTGTCTGCTTTCAGCCAAAAATCCCTGTACTGTCAGCAATGATAACCATAGTCTCTGGCAAATCCAAGTTGAATTTCTGCTAGTTGCCTGACACTGTAATGCTCTAATATATATTTTTTAAAATAATCTTCAGCTAAATTTTATTTGCAGTGAGTCTAACTACCATTTTTCTTGTTCTTTCTGACCCAGATAACAACCGAACTGTAATTTTTCAGTATGGCCACCAGATGGCTCTATTTGGGTTCCTGTGGGACAAGTCTAGTGGGTCACGTGAACCACACTGGATGCCAAAGGTGAGGTATCAGTAATCCTATCCTAACCACTCTTCCCTCTGCTAGTACCAATCTATTACTGTGTCTAGCTGATCCTCCTTGCTCTATTGTAATGTCTGCCAGACAGATAAGCAATCTTCTGAGAATTCCACACAATTCGCACAAAACCATTTCATTATACTCTGTTTCACTCTTCCAAATATACTTTGTACCTTTAATAATGTTTCTCTACAGATTTTCTGTAACTGTTATAGGTATTTATCTACTAGAGAGGTCTGGTGGTCTGGTGGTAAGGAGTTGTATTGGCAAACCAAAAGATACATGGTTCAAATCTACCAGCTTTGGCCCATGGAAGAAAGATAGGTAATCTGTGGGAGATGGCCAACTCCTCCCATGCCTCTGAAAAACCACTGGGGGACCAGCTATAAGTTCAATCCCACTCAATGGTACACAACAGCACTAACATTTATTTACTAATTGGTGTTATGCTTGAAAATCTATGTTATTTAACATGTTAAGATTAGTATGTTGTTGTTGTTATGTGCCATCAAGTCGCTTGCAACTCATAGCGACCCTATGTATAACAGCCCTAAACTCCACTCTGTCCTGTGTCAATCACACTGTCTCCGACACTCTCATCCCAATTATCCCAGTCACTGAATCAATCCACCTCATAGAGGGCCTTCCTCTCCTGTGCTGTCCCTCCACCCTCCCAAGCATGATGTCCCTCTCCAAGGACCAGTCCTTCTTTACAACAAGTCCAAAGTATGTTAGGCAGAGCCTCAGAATCCTTGCCTCCAAGGAGCAGCCTGGTTTAACCCTTTCCAGGATGAATCTATCACCACAGCTCAGAGACATCAATCCTCCTTAGTTATTGCCCAGCCGGACCCCAGCCTCTGACAGGTTCAGATTGCCCTCCTCGCTCCGTCCTCCGCTGGCCCCCGCTCTGTGCCCCGGGACTCTCCAGCTCTGCTCACACAGTCTCCCCTTCACTCAGATAACAACATGAACAAGTTTTGGTGGAGCGCAGGCTGGGGACTCTGCCTTATCGTGCTGCTGAGCCTGGCACAGATTGATCTCAACATCACTTGCCGATATGCTGGCGTATTCCACGTGGAGAAAAACGGCCGCTATAGCATCTCCAGGACCGAGGCCCCTGACCTCTGCCAGGCTTTCAACAGCACGCTGGCTACCATGGCCCAGATGGAGAACACCCTGAAAATCGGGTTTGAGACATGCAGGTACGGATTCGTAGAAGGGAATGTGGTGATCTCCCGGATCCACCCCAACACCATCTGCGCTGCCAACAACACAGGGGTGTACATCCTCACGTCCAATACCTCCCAGTACGACACTTACTGTTTCAATGCTTCAGCTCCAGAAAATGGGGAGGATTGTACATCAGTCACAGATCTGCCCAATGCATTTGAAGGCCAAGTTACCATAACAATTGTTAACCATGATGGCACCCTCTACAGCCAGAAAGGAGAGTACAGGACCAATCCAGAAGACATCAATCCCAGCAACCCCACTGATGATGATGTGAGCAGTGGCTCATCTAGTGAACGGAGCACTTCAGGATGTTACAGCATCTTCCACACCTACCTTCCAACCACAAACCCAGCTGAAGACAAATCCCATCCTTGGGCTTCTGACAACACAGATAACACGCCAGCTACCAGTCACAGAAATGACGATGAGACTGGTGGAAAATCCCATACGACTCATGGATCTGAATCGGCTGGACATTCAAGTGGGAGTCAAGAAGGTGGGATCAACACAACAACTCCTCCTATGAGGAAAGCCCAAGTCCCAGAGTGGCTGATCATCTTGGCATCGCTGTTGGCCTTGGCTTTGATTCTCGCAGTTTGCATCGCTGTCAACAGTCAAAGAAGGTGCGGGCAGAAGAAGAAGCTCGTAATCAATGGTAATGGAGCTGTGGAGGACAGAAAGCCAAGTGGACTCAATGGAGAGGCTAGCAAGTCCCAGGAAATGGTGCATTTAGTGAACAAGGAGACATCAGAGACCCCAGACAAGTTCATGACAACCGATGAGACACAGAACCTGCAGAATGTGGACATGAAGATTGGGGTGTAACACCAACGCGGTTATCTTGCAAAGAAGCAAAAGAGATATCACCATTACAGGAGCTGGGACTGATATTAACAGATGCAATGTGCTACTGATTGTTTTGTTTGGGATCTTTTTTTAGTATAAAATTTTCTACTCCTTTTTTTTTGTTTTATTTTGTGTTTTGTTTTATTTTTTTTTTTTTAAAGTCAAGTTCAGTATCTAAAACCAGCATTGCTTTCTGAAATGAGGGTCCAATTAAAAATTAGCACGAATTTGACTGTTCCAGTTCCCACCTAGAGGCCTCTCACTCAGTGAAGTGAGCTTTAGTGAGCTTCTACCAAAAGCCACAAATACATCTTCCTGATACCCAAGCTCCCCGCCCCTTCTCCCAGGTAGCAGCTACCTGCTAAGAACATTCCCCAAGGCTAAGAGGGATTGGACTCAGGGAGGACATTTGAATGGGTCCGTAGTGTTCTTCCAGCAGCCCAATCCCTGGGCATTGCTTTCCACAGGGGCTGGAGATGGGAGTGTACTGGTTACCCATTCCTTTCTACAGACTCCTCTGGAAATTTTTCTGATGCTTCTGGGAGACACCCAAAGGGTGAAGCTATTTATCTGTTGTAAGCTATTTATCTGTGTTTTTGAAATATTAAACCCAGGAGGTCCTTTGAACAGTACAATTTTTTTAAAAAATTACTTTGTCAGAAGCATAAAAGAGCTTAAGCTGATTCACAATAAACATCTGTACTTCTGCCACCTTAAAAAAAATCCTCCTTAGTTATTGTCCAACTCTCTGATGCATAACAAGTGATAGCATAGGCTACATAATTGTATTTTAGAAAGTAAAATATAAATAACATTTGTATAAACATGAGATTTTAGACACTAGAGTTGGAGGACCAAAGAATAAAAATGATTTAAAGTTTGTTTTATTGAAAAATTGTTTTCAGTTGCCACTTTTCTCTAAGTATTTTAGCCAGTCATTTTTCTCCCTAATTAAACAAAAACAAACAAACAAGCAAACCCACAAAACAGAGATCATGATAAGTGGTAAAATTCCTCTCTCCCCATCCCTTCTCAAAATAGTTGAATATTCTTGGGTCTTTGTGTCTATGTGTGAGAGCATCTGTAAGGTAAATGCCTAGGTAATGTAGTGAATTATGTGATATGGCCTTTCCAGTATTCCTGAGAAACTAATGGTGTAGTCAGAGGAGGACTGCATTGCTTACTCAAAGGCTACGCCTCTCCAGTGGTTTGGACCAACCCCTGCTTAGAGTAAGAAAAATGGGCAATCTCCTCCCATGCAATTTACCTGCTGGAGGGTCACCTGTGAGTTGATTCCTACTCCACAGCAATGAGTGGGGTTTTTTTATCTATTGTTTGTCTTATGACTCTCACAAAATGATGCAAGCAAGGTGTTTATAGCCTTTCAGGGGAGCTGAACAGCCAACCAGCCAGTAATCCAAATAAGGTGCACAGAGCCTTGGGGCGAGATGTTCCCTTTAGTTAACTATATATAAGACTCATAGTAAGCTTATGAACAATAGATCTGAACCTTGCCTTACTCTGCGCCATCTTCATAATCTCTGATCATCTTGAGCCCATTGCTTCATTCACTAAGTCAATCTGGCTTGTTTAGGCTCTTTCATTCTCTGACCTGCTACCTTTCCCAGCAAGTTGTCTGTTTCTAAAAACTGACCCCTTTGACAACATGTTCAAAGACATTCCCTCAGAAAACTACAATCCTACCAAAAGTAATCTACATTTTAAAAACAATTTCAACACAGAAAGAAAAGGCAAACAGCAAGTCTATTTGGGAAGGAAAGAGATCCTGAATAAAAAAAGCACTTCTGAAAAACAAAAATGAAGTGGAAGGCATAGCACTCCTTAATCTCAAAACCTATTATGGTAAAAAAAAAAAAACAACCTATTATGGTGTTGTTATGTGTCATCAAGTCACCTGAGATTCATAGGGGCTGTATGCAAAATAGTTCTGCACCCTGCCCTTTCCTGAGCCAATTTCACTGGCTCTGACAAACCTATCCCTATTACCCCAGTCACTGTGTCTCATCTCATCTGGGGTCCTCCTCTCCTGTGCTGTCCCTCAACCCTTTCAAGCATGATGTCCCTCTCCAAGGACTGGTCTCTCCTGGACACATGCCCAAAGTATGTGAGACAGAGTTTCAAAATCCTTGCTTCCAAGAAGCAGCTTGGTCTCAGACCCTCTCTAGGTCAAAGCTGTTTGTCCAATTAGTCTGATTCTCGTGTAGATCAGCAGACGAAGTCCATGTGTATAGCCACTGTTTGTGTTTTTTATAAGTCAGATTGACTACATCTGTGGAAAGAATCATTGGAAAAGCTCAATATCAGCTGTGAAAACTGGGCCAGGTGCTGATTGTGGAACAGATCACCAACTACTCATGCAAGTTCAAACTGAAACTAAAGATAATCAAATGCAATCCCCAAGAACCAAAATTTCACCTTGTGTCTATCTCCCCTAAGTTTAAAAATTACCTTAAAAACAGGTCTGAGACCTTAAACACAAGCACGAATGAAGACTTGATGGGCTTTGGGAGAATATAAAGAATATCATCCATTAAGGATGTAAAAGGTCATTGCAAAGAGGAAGAAATAACTAAGATGGATGTCTGAAGGGGCTCTAAATACTGTACTAGTGCACTGAGAAGCCAAAGCAAAGGGAAATCAGGAAGACAAGGAGTTAGAAGATTATAAAGGGCAGCTTCAGAAGACAAAGAAAAGTATTATAATGAAATGTATGAAGAGATGGAGCTGGAAAACCAATTAGGCCAAACTCGCTCAGCATTTTTTAAGCTGAAGGAACTGAAGAACAAATTCAAGCCTCTAGTGGCAATACTTAATAATGCAATGGGTAGAATATTAAGTGATCCAGGAAGCATTAAAAGAAGGTGGAAGGAGTACACAGTTACTGTACTGGCTGACACAGAAGAATTTCATGAAACAACATATGATCAAGAAGCAACGAAAATGGAGGAGGGAGTTCAATCTGCTGTAAAGGAATTGTTAAAAAGAGACCTCATGAGTGATGAAATACTTATTGACATATTTCAACAGATATCCATCTGTGCTAATCAAGTTGTGCCAGGAAATCTGGAGGACGACTGCTTGGCCAACTGACTGGAAAAGATCTAGATTTATTCCCATTTAAAAAAAAAGGTTCCCTGATAAAGTGTGGAAATGATGGAAAAATATCACTGATATCACATGCAAGCAAAGACCTGCTGAAGATTATCCAAAAAAACAACTGAACAGTACACTGACACAAAACTACAAGAAATACAAACTGGGTTTAGAAGAGGCTGTAGTACCAGAAGCATTATTACGAAGGTCAGATGGATCTTGGCTGAAAGCAAAAAGTACCAGAGGAATGTCTGTGTTTCATTGACTATGCAAAGGCATTTGGCTGTGTGGATCACAATAGATTGTGGCTAACCTTGAGAATAGGAATAGTCTTCTCGCCGAACGCCGCCAACATGGAGTTCAGGTGCTAAGTGGAGGTTGGCCAGGTGACCTACATCTCTTTCGGACCCCATGCCGGGAAACTGGTCGCGATCGTAGACGTTATTGATCAGAACAGGGCTCTGGTTGACGGACCATGCACTCAAGTAAGGAGGCAAGTCATTCCTTTCAAATGCATGCAGCTCACCGACTTCATCCTCAAGTTCCCACACAGTGCCCGCCAGAAGTATGTTTGACAAGCCTGGCAGAAACCCGATATCAATACAAAATGGGCAGCCACAAGATGGGCCAAGAAGATTGAAGCCAGAGAAAAGAAAGCCAAGATGACAGATTTTGATCGCTTTAAAGTCATGAAAGCAAAGAAAATGAGGAACAGATTAATAAAGTATGAAGTTAAGAAGCTTCAGAGGGCAGCTCTTATGAAAGCTTCTCCTAAAAAAGCAGCTGCTGCTACCAGTGCTGGGAAGGTACCACCCAAGAAGGTGACTGCTGCGGGCAAGAAGGAGAAGGCCCCCGCCCAGAAGGAGAAGGCTGCTGGCCAGAAAGAGAAAGCCCCTGCCCAGAAGGAGAAGGCTGCCGGCCAGAAGGCTGGACCTCCAAAAGCTGAGAAGGGTCCAAAAGCCTCAGCCCAGAAAACTCCTGCTCCAAAGGCATCGGGCAAGAAAGCATAAGAGGCTGTTATAAGAGGAATAAAGTTTCTTTGTGACAGAAAAAAAAACAACAACAACCCAGGAATAACAAAACACTTGATTGTACTCATGCAAAACCTGTACTTGACCAGGAAGGAGTTGCCAGAATAGAGCAAAGAAACAGTGCATGGTTCAAAATCAGGAAAGGAGTGCATCAGGGATGCATCCTATCTCCATACATTTTTAATCTATATGTGGAACAGATCATTCAGGAGGCTGGAATTTATGAGGAGGAATGTGGCATCAAGATTGGAGGAAGACTTAACAACGATCTGCGTTATAAAGATGACACAACCTCGCTTGCTGAAACTGGCGAGAACCTGAAGAATTTGCTGCAGAAGGTCAAGAACTATAGTCTTCAATATGGATTGAAGGTCGACATCAAGAAGATAAAGATTCTCACTACTGGGCTAATTGGCCGCACCATGATAGATGGAGAAGAGATTGTGTCTGTTAACTATATCAGTTTGCTTGGCTCCACAATCAACACTCTTGGCATCAGCAGTCAAGAAATCAAAAGATGAAAGCTATGGGAAGAGCTACTGTTAGAGACCTCTCAAAAGTGCTAAAGAGAAAAACAAGAGGCTCACGATGGCGTTAGTGATAAACCAGTTCACACCAGAGCCCTTGGAAGGAAGAGTCCTGGTCGGGTCTTGAATGCACCATTGAAGAGAAGAAGAGTAGCAGATTGGATAAAAACCCCAAATC